GACCCTTGCTGTACAGGATGGTTTAAGTTCAAGTTTGATGGTATTCTTGAATCAATACTATATGGTCAAGCATGATGCCCTCCTCTTATTTGTGTTCGTTGTTGATAGCTAGGGTAATAGATAGATATTACTCTTCCATTTTATGACACAACACCACAAAGTATGAATAGGAGCCATCTAATCTTATTATCACAGTTCATGATAATAACTTTTAAACATATCGGTTTAAATGCTCAAGTACATACACTGTTAGGTTTTTAATTACATAAGTGTTTCCTATAGCTTCATAAACATAAAACACCTGGTTAGATAAGATGAATTAACTGAAGATGCAGTATGTCCCATGCCAAAAAGGCTTGGGAAGAGACCAGTGCATAATGGATAGACTTAAAAAGGTCCATGAGGACCAACATCTAATTAAATTTTGTACAGCTCACTTCTCTGTGAACTTTCCATGTGTTTCCTGTCTTCTTGTACTAAGCTATCTTTATACCAGTAATGATATTGTTAAGGAGAAATATTCTTGAAGGCTCCGTTAGTCTGAGTGGAGGTGGGGGAGTTCCTTTGTCTGTTGTAGTATGGGAAATGATGAAGAGCCCTTTAGCCTTTGCTAAATATAACAAACATTTTCGGGGCTGTTGATGTGCTTGGCTTCTGCAGCAGGTCAAGACCAACAGCTTCAGCCAGTGCTTCCTTTTCCAGATATGAGAATTCATTGTGTGTAAAGTCGCCTTGTCTGCTGACTGAAGTCCTGCTGCTTCTTCAGTCAATCAATATCAATAACTTGTTTCCCTCTGCACATTCCTTGTCCCGTTGAACAGTCTGGGGGCAAATTCATTGCTCCCTACTCAGCACTGACATGTTGTGTCATTGAAAAGTTTGTAAAATGGTAAACTGTTAAATGATCAAGGACTTTCAAATCCCCAATCCCATTCTGTTGCTTGGTACATAATAGATGTTTCCACTTGAAAACAAAAGAACTTTTACTATAATCACAGTTGTAATACCTTAGTGAGGTACAGTAGTCCAAAACACAGTGATAAATATAGCTCTTTTGTGTTTTTTAACAAACTGAATTTCTGTGGTCATTTTAAATGACCACACCTACAATACAGTACACCTATAGTAAATGCAGTGTGTGGTGATTGCAAATCAACACATAAAGATTGATTCCATGCTGAAAAGACAAAATGTTTCACTTATAGAAGGCTTAACAACCAAAACAATGTGTCTTTTCAAAGTAGAATCAACCTTTACTTGTTCTTTTGCAGCCAACACACTCTGACACTGCTCCCCACGCATAACACTTTCGACATTTTACTGTGGAACATCTGCGTACGTAAGTCCCTATGTGACAGTTTGCTTCCTAATAATTTGAAAACAAAAGCTGTAAGGAAATATACATCCTTTATGTCAAATGAATGTTCTTTACAAAAACTGAGTTTCTGTATGGCTAATGGTTTATGGTGTTTTCACAACACTATTTAGAAAATGAACATCAAGTTGGGGCAACCACCCTTTTCCTTTATCAAATTGGATCGAATGTGCAAAGCTAAGGGTCACATTTCTCATCCTTGGCTTTCTCCTGGACTGGAAGTTAAAGAAAGTAAACAGATGACACCGCCTGCTATTGCTTGGAAAGAAAAAAATACACACATAAGACTATTTACGGAAATTATCAAAATCTAGTGTAAACACAAAGATCATGTTGATTCTAAGCTATTTTAGTGTTAGACTGAACACAGGCGTTTGACTTGAAATGAAGAACCTTAACTTTAAATCAATAAAACCTCCTGTTTCATTTTAACATCAAGCTTGGCAGCAGATAAAACATTACACAAAATGAATAAATACTATTAATATACTGTAGAACTTGTCATTTGACTGATAAGTTTTACCATATCTTATATGTTTTGAATGACTTTGTTTAAAGTTTAGACAACCTCGGACAGATGGGTTATATTTTAGCTAAAATTTCTAAATAAATGCTATTAACAGTGCTATCCGGAGCAATGTGTTACAGAACAACATTTGTATAAAAGCTGCTTTATCTTTTCTCATACTTATGCCTTCCATTGTTTGTAAGAAAGCTGCAGCTTCCATGTCTTATATTACCATCAAGATCTTGCTGGGGATTAAAGAGATTTGAGGTTGTGCTGTTTAACACTTTATATGTGCAATGCAGACATCTCTTTGATACTGTATTTAATTACTTTTATGGGAAGTGTGGTTTTTACATATAGAATATATATATATATGTACTGTATGTAAAAAGTTTGGAATGTGTAGAAAGCAGTTTTCACAGGATAAATTCATGCACTCATTCACTGGCTGGTGCTGTCCCCTACATACAGTATATGTTCCCGGTCATAACCTGGTTCCGATTAAAAACTTGAATTTTTTTTTTCAGATCTCCTGAGTAGCTCACTGCACTTTTCCATATTCCGGTCAAATTTTAATTAACACAATGAGAAGACAAAAATTAAAAGATTACAGTACTTAATCCATCCATTTTCTCATTGCTTCTTCCAATTCGGAGCCATGGGTGAGCTGAAGCCTATCTCCACAAGCAATGGGTGAATGGCAGGATACACCGTGGACAAGACATCGCACCCAGGAACAATCACACACACACTTACACCAGGGCATATTTTCTTAAAAGCCAATTTACCTATTGTAAATAGCTTTTGCATGTAAATTACATGTCTTTGGACTGTGGAAAGAAACCAGAGAAGCCGAAGGAAACCCACACATAAACAGAGAGAACATACAAACTTCACACAGACAGCACCTCAGGTCCAGAATTGAACCCAGGGCCCCAGTGCTGCAAGGCAGCAATGCTACCCACTACACAAACCTTAGCAGTTTTAATATTTGACTCACCTAACTGAGGAAATGTCAGTAAGTTCGTAACTGACAAGAACATTCCTTACTTATGAGAAATGAGCCAGGGAGGCTGTTACAAGGATGAAGATGGAGAGTACACAGCAGACAAGATATTTATAAGAAAGTGGAAGTGTGAGATTACAGTTTGGATTCCTCTCAAACTCCTGTTAAAAAACTAAATTTAGCAGAGAATCATGACACTGAAGACTGAATGTTTTGGTCATGTTAGTTTCTAATTTATAAGTGCTCTTCTTACCCAGACTTCCATGTTCATTGCTCCCTATCTCTCCTGTTGTTCAAACCATCTACATTTCCATTTCCACCTATAATTTAATAGGCCAATTTCAATCAATTGTATGGTATAGTGTCTTCTGCTACAGTTTGTCACAGGACTTTACAGATTTCGACTGCAGTTGACAATAATAATTTGAAAGTAACTGAACCAACATTTTTTATACAACTTGATGGCCCTTTTTGAGGAGACTTGTAGTGACATTCTTAATGTAATTTGATTTAGGGAAAAGGGGTCTGTTTCTTGTAAAATATTTAATCTTTGTGCCTTTTTGTCTCATGTCTCTGAGGTTTAATTTTGCATTTCTGCACACAAGCTAAACTTACTCAAATTACTCAGACAATTAACACAACTGTAAACAGTTTATATCCCATCAGACCCAGACGGTAAAATCAGGTAGTGTTCAAGTGGGAATTCCCTACTACATCATTGAAAAAACATCTTAATTTCCCATCCTTTTCATTACGTGCAGTACACTGGTATACCACTCAGAGTATGAAGTTTCCTATATCCCAAGTTTTACATTAACAAAATAATGATGTAACAGAACCATACACAAACATATCTAGGATATTGGATAAGATAAGATATACTAGATAATTTCTTATAGTTATAGTTATAGCTTTTATAGTTAACAGCAGTGATATCACTCTGCAACTCACAACTGGCAAACCACTGAAGCTTAGCAGGTGTGAGCCTGGCCAGTACCTGGATGGAACCTCCTGGGAAAAACTAAGGTTGCTGCTGGAGGAGGTGTTAGTGGGGCCAGCAGGGGGCGCTCACCCTGTGGTCCATGTGGGTCCTAATGCCCCAGTATGGTGACGGGGACACTATACTGTAAACAGGCGCCGTCCTTCGAATGAGATGTAAAACCGAGGTCCTGACTCTCTGTGGTCATTAAAAATCCCAGGGCGTTTCTCAAAAAAAGAGTAGGGGTGTAACCCCGGTGTTCTGGCCACATGTCCCATTGGCCCTTACCAACCAAGGCCTCCTAATAATACCTATCTATGAATTCCCTTCATTACTCTGCTCTCCTCCCCACGGATAGCTGATTTGTGGTGAGCGTTCTGGCGCACTATGGCTGCCTTCGCATCATCCAGGTGGATGCTGCACCATTGGTGGCGGTGGAGGGGAGTCCCCGTTACCTGTAAAGTGCTTTGAGTGGACTGTCCAGAAAAGCGCTATATAAGCAATTATTAACAACTTTTGTCCTAAAATTGAAAATTTACTTAATGTTTCTAACAAAACAAGGTTGCTAAGTTTCATGTGCAGTTGAACACATTTAAGAAACAGAAAAGTGAAGTTAAGATACAGCATAAAGTGCATTTTTTAAAGGATTTTTTTTTTGCTGAATGCATGCACAAAGTATAAAGCAGGCAGTTGGAAATCAACAGCATCTTAGGTGAACAGGAACTAATAAATCAAATTGTATTACAAGAATTCATACACATACAGTATTAGAATACAGCTTTAAAATATCATTAGTACTGTTACAGCTCGTTTGACGCATTCTTTTTTTCTGTTTTAGATAGTTTCACTGCATGGCAACTGTGCTTTCCTAAAGGTCTATTATTTTTCTTGTTCAGATGGATTTTACACACTGTTCCTATCAGTAATTTTGTCAACAGTCTGAAAAGCTTAAGTTCCAGCGCAACGCAATGTGGACTCTGATACATTATTCACCAGCTCCTTGAACTTTGAAATCTGCCTGGAAACTGTCCCGAGAAAGGCGTTCCCAGGAGAGTGTAAATCAAACAGTGATGTCATACATAAGTGGGCTTACCCAGGAGTGCGCAGTCCGGTTTTCCTATATAAGGCGCGCATACACATGTCTCACTACCACTACAGCCTCAGCGGACATCAGGTTGCTTGGCTCAGCTCAAGACCAGAGTGGGGATAACCTCGCTGTTTGGAAATCGCCGACAAACCCCGAAGAAGAAACAACACTAGAAAAATGTCTTTGCACACGTGTGACTCTCTCCGAGTGAGTCCCTCAGTCCATGGCAACAAATTCGACACGGCCAACCGCAAGAAAGCCGTGTCTAACATATTTGAAAATGTGAACCAGGACGCGCTGATTAGGCTCTTCCAGAAGACAGGCGACATGAAGGCGGAGGAGAGGGCGAAAAGCATCTTCTCATTCGCCCAAGATCCCGAGGAAACGGCTAAAGCCCTGATGGCGCTTAAACAAAGGAAAAAGAGCAAATTCCTGCAGATTGTGGGCTTGGTCAGGTATTCACTGAAACTTCATTGACTCTTTCACTTTGCTCTATGGGAGCTAAACGAGGAAGAAAAAAAAGATCGCTTGACTTGAAATGTCATGCGAAGTGAACAGTCCTTCAGCCGGCTCACAAAAGTAAGAGGCGAGGGAGAAACACCCTGGGATGAAGTCTGAACTGTAACATCTTGAAATGCTACGTTACAGTATGAGTGACTTCTCCGCATTGCTACAGCTAAGGCGCAAGTCGACAACCTGCGCCCCTCGCCAGCCAAGGAGGAAAAAAATGAGGAAGGAGACCTAAAAAGAAAGCTACAAAAAAGAGACATTTGTACTGACGAAGTGAACCACACGGTTAATTGCTGTGACTGTATGCATTTGTATAATGCTTGAACCGCATTTGCACCTTATAGGTGTATGAAAAGCTTTTGCAGGTGCTCACAATCCAGATCGAGACCGATTGAGCTGCAGAACCAAACGCCTGGTGATGTGAGAAAAAAACTACTATGTGACTGAGTCAGTGTGTAAAATGTGTAAAACCACTACTTGTTCGTGGTCACTAATTTATATGCCACAAAGTGCTGTGATGAAAATGGCTGTATCGTCCTGAGGCTACTATGTTATTTGCTTAATAAATTATTTTTATTCTGAATCATATCTTTCTTCTTGGAACATTTTACATTCATGGTATGTGATATATGCTCCTTCCCAATCCAATGACCATTTCAAGTTTTTATTTGCCTAGTGTCAATTTTTATAATTATACAGATTGTTCAGTAAGCTTATATTAGCTTTCTCCCCAAATGCAATTTCTATCATCTCTCTACTTGATTATATGTTTTTTTAAACTGAAATTGTATGGGGATGGCAATAGGCTTTCTTTGTTAAACATATCATTACATTATAATTGCACACTTCAGTGCAAGATACATTAAACCAGCCAAATAAGATGATACAAAGTTTGAAAAGAGACAAACCCCAGGGTTAAAAAAAACCCTCTTTGTGTTGTACCTACACCCTTGTCATGGGCACGATAAAACTCTTGCATGCACTGGCTGCAAATGCAGCAGGAAAGCTGCAGACAGCACCCTTGAACAGCAGAAATGGGCAACGTAAGCAATACTGCCTAAAAAATGCTTTTTGACCATGTTCTTCCAGCTGCTGTCAATCACCATGCGCCCTGTCAACTAAATGCTTGCAATTAGATCAGTTAATCACCGTCCTTTTTTTAAAAGACATTAAAGTTGATATATTTCCTAATTGCACTGTATAAGAAAATCTGCATTCAGTTACAACCTGAACAACAAAATAAAAAGTGAATTATTAATGTAGAGTGACAACACATGTAAAATGGTAAACCCTTATGTTTTTCTATGAAAGAACCTAGGGAAAACCTGATGACATAGGAATTTGATCAAGTCCCACCAAAGAAAATAAGAGCCCTAGCTCTTAGTACTTCCCAGTAATAAAACATCAGTAATATAGTTAGTTTGCGTGTGAAGAAACCAAACAACCATACTGCTGGTAAGAAGTTCTGAAGCAGCTGATCCATCAAATGTACCAATCAAGTCTAACTGATTCGTTGTCATGTGTCATGAACATGTCCTTCTCCATAAAGCTAGTACACTTCTGTGCTGCAAAATACAGATCTGGTTTCATAAGCCTAAAACAAAATGATTACATTATCTCTACAGGAATGTTTCTATACGAAGAATCAAAAAGCATTGAATGAAAAGCGTAGAAAAAAATAAAAATTGCAAGACTTTAGAACTGCAGTGTATATTATTTAATCACCTTCTGCGATATATGATTCACAAATCAGACAAAGAAAGTTTTTTTTCTTGGTGGAAATTGCACATACTGTAAGTCATTTCCCCTAAACAAAGTCTGGGGAATCTATTTTATTTTACCCATGAAATAATCACACATTCTGTAAATTCCACAATTCTCCTCAGAGAATTCATGTACAATAAACCGAATTGATTTTATTCATAATCATCCACATAGTTTTGTGGAAAAGAAATACATTATTTCCTGTAACTCTTATTCTAAAAACAAAAACAATTACTCCATAGGATAATCAATTAAAATATAGTTTATACAATACAGCTTGCATTCCTTGCATTCCACAGTTGCACAAAACCCAAGTCGGCTTTAATGAATGATAAATAATAAAGCTTTTCATCTTTATTTTTCTCTCTTGTTTATTACATATTTTCTTTCAGATTTCAAGGTGTGCATTTGATAATAAAAGGCGGCTATTAAAATCAGACACATAAGGGGCATTTCCTCAGCAATGTGAAGCTTTTTTTGCTGGCTTTTTTCTTGATAATATTCCTCCTCTTTGTGGGTTAAAATAGAGACAGACCAAGATGGTAAGAAGATACCATAGTATATCCCCTGCTCCTCAACAGATCCTTTGTGGCAGTTCATTTCAACTGGGTTGTTCACCTTACATGTGTTTATCTGCTGGATTCCTTATCTGACTTGTGCAAACCAGTTTAAAAGGTGTAGATTAACTTGATTGCTCTATTTGTGAAAGGTGTATGATGTTAGCTTCTGAACTACAAAAAGGAACATTGACCATAACGCCTACTATAATGTTTATGGAATGTAGGGATATGATTTTGAATATAAATTAACTTTTGGTTTCATAGCAGTTTGTGGCTGGACCTATGTTTTATATCAACCTTTAAACTTACAAACATCCTGTTGTTTTTCCTCAATAAGGGTCACAGAGCACAGAGTTACTTATTGACTGAGGAAAGTTTCAAATTTAAATGTGCCTGAAACTGAAAAAACGGATGCATTACTCTCTAGAACAGCCCTGGGCAAATTCAATGATAATTAATAACATATTATATGCAGCTCAACCAGGTGAACAATATGTCTTTTGGCCAACATGGACCCAAATCTACACTGTTTCGCCCCCCTCTGAATTCTGGGGGCCAATATTTTGTGCTAAGGTGTGTTATATTATTCAATGTTATATCATGGAATATATAAAAAATGTTGAACAGTTTGTGTGTATTAAATATGGAGAAGAAGTTTGATCATTTCTCCAAGAAAGATATAACACCCATTAACAATAATGAGTGAGCACAACGTATAACTAAACTTTATTCAGTGTAATTGTAGTACCTACTAGAAAATGACATTTTTATTCCAGTTTATTTTATCCACATTTTACAGAAGTTACATTGATTATTTATCCCACTGCAACACTCTATGTACCCTCTGTGGTTCAAGAGATATTGATTCTAGATCAACCATCTACTGTACCAACATGCCCCTCAGGTAGTTCAGGATCACATCAGCAATGGGTTTTACATTGAACTTATGCAACTTTAATTCTTGAGCAAAATTGTGTTAAAAAATAATGGATAAAAGGAGACTATTGAAGATGTTATACTTGTGTAAAGTATATTATAAATTAACAAAGTTGTTATGCCAAAGTCAATTCAGCAAAGTAGAACGGAATTACATAAACTGACTTTTGAACACTTTTTAAATTCAAAATCTGTAAAACATTCTATCTTTTATTACACAGAACAAATTAACAATCCATGCTGTATCAGTCTGTACACTGAGCATCAGTTCAGTTCAAAGTATCTTTGTTGGCATGACAGGATTAAACAGGTTTTCCCAAAGCGTTAACCTCAGTAGGTATGAGGGCATGGATGAAAAAGAGAACAAGGAAAATACACCAAACTAAAGAGGAATCATTCCATGTAAAATGGAGAGCTTTTAAATACTGAATGGCCATTTGCCATTATAATCATAATTAACAATAATAATTATTTTAAAATGGGTAAGATCTGTGTTGAAACTAACACTATATTTAGTTACAAGACAGAAAGATCAAACATTCTTTGCAACCTAAAGGAAAAAAAAATGTCTTCTACAGTCTTTCCATTGTTTGAAACACAGGAACCTAAATATTTTAGGATTCAATTGTCCCAGCTGTCTTCTCTATTGCCTGCTAATAACAGAGTAGGCAAGTGGCTGTACTCTCCCACCCTCTTCCTGCTTTTCACAGAGCCTTGTGCTGAGCCCTTTCATGTTGTCAGACAGCAAGGCAGCAGCCTTCCAGTCTCTGTGTTAGAGCCATTACCATAGCGACAGGAAAAGATACAGGAGCTCAGATTGAGGGAGGCCATTTCCTCCAGCCTTGAATTCCGGTACAAACTGGTTTGCAGGCCAGTGGTTAAGAAGAGGAAGTTAAAGCTCAACTCTCTATTGTATCAGAGCAAACAAGCCCACAGTATTTGGATTACTCAGTCCTAGAGTAACCTTACCTAGACCATATAAATAAAATAACAGAAAAGTAGCTCATGGGCTAGCAACATTAAACTGAAGTCTAAGATTTATTTTTTGAGGGAATTTGATTAAATAACAATTCTAAAAATTCCAGGTTACAAAATAGTTTCAGTTACATTGTTTGTTATTTTCAGATAATTTGCCTCTAATGTAACTGTGTTGGCAGATCATGTGAGAGACTGCCATATTACGGTGACCAAAGATAACAGATTCCTATTAATATATTGAATCTGTTGTGTGATTTGTAACAAGTAACCACTGCTCTGGATAATGAATCAAAGCCTATTTTTTATTAAGACCAGTTGAGAACGTTTTCTAAAGTGAATACTCTTCTACTAGCAGGTATTACAAACAACGACCTTTGCTCAGAATACAATTTTATTTGGTAGAAGAAAGAAAAAGCAGTCTTGAACATATTTTTTCAGTCACAAGATTGGCAACATCTGCCCCACAGCACTGTTGACAGCACTGACATAAAATGATTGGGTATAAACAGGATTTGCTCATAAAGCCTCATTTTAAACATGTGTTTACACACAAATAACTCTCACCCAAAAGCACTATGTAAAAGAAAAGGATTTGAAAAACTCCACTGAGGTAATGAACAACACAATATAGTAATTTCAATCTAGACACTATTTGCTCTTTGATGCAGACAGTCCAGGAATGTAGTCTTCTGCTTCTTCTCTTATCAATATCTTTTGTTATACTGTTTTAAGATAATAAGTTTCAACAAGTTTTATTTTTTACCAAACTCCCTGTCATACTTGAATATGGATTTCTGAATACGAAAAATAGGGTTGGTCAGTCAGTCTTTCACTGAAATCAGATCCAAAGATGAACATATTCTGGTCTGGGCTCAGTTATTTAAAGTTGAATGTCACTAAAACCAAAGACATGGCAACTGATTTCTGAAGGAACCCTAAGACCCCCCACAGAAACCTGCACCAAAGGACAATCTTTGGTGATGTTTGGTGAATATTTTTTAGGAAATGTTCTGAATTGAAAAGTTAAATGTTGAGGCAAACGTCAATTCTATTTTCATAAAAGAGCAAAGATGTATATCTTTTCCTGCAAACGCTTAAGCAGTTTAAGGTTGATAATTTGTTGTTGATCATGTAATTTTTTCTGAATAACTTTTAATTTTGCCCTGATGTGTTGGTTTAGGAATCTCAATCTGAGGAGTAAAAAAAACTGGAGAGTATGGTAAAACTAAATCAGAAAGTCATCAATCGTGATCTTTTGATCCCAAGTGTATCATAGTTTTACAGTATATAAAGCATATTCCATCCTAGATGACCCTTTACACTCTTCATTGAATGAATTTCTACTTTC